TTATGCTCTGGGTACTTTATATTATGGTTGAATTTTAAATTGGCCAAATATATTTTTTTTAAAAATGGTTAGCCACTTAGGTGGTTCTATGTGACATTCTAATCATTTGGACTTCGAGTCAGATTGGAATAGGGTGTTACATAAACAATGTAATTTAAGCATTTGACTTTTATTTAAGAAGTTTAGATACAATTTTTTAAAAATACATCTAGAAAATTACATTATCACATTAATAAGAAAAATGCATCCAAACTTAAATAAAAATAATCGAAACAATTCTTAACTTTTAATAATGTATTAAAAATTTATATGGTATAAATTCAATTTTTTATTATATAACACTAAAAATAATATTTAATTTATTTATACCAATTGTTTTTCAATTCAACGAATATGAAAAAAAATTATTTTAATTAAAATTAACAGTCAAATAAAATTAGTTATAATTAAAGGGTCAAATGAGATATTTTCTATCAATGTAACATGCCTCATAACCTTTTTAATAATAGATAGTGATGTTTTGCCCATTTTATAACAAAAAATCTAAAGTTTAATGTCCATTATATAACTTTTGAAAATTTGATGTCTAAAATGATTATTTTGATATAGTTTAATGTTCATTTATAAATTTTACCCTATAAAATTAGCTGTGGATACCAATTTTACATTCATTCTATAATTTTCCATGTTAGATGATAAAATACACCCGTATGATTAAGGGTCAGTTTGACATAGTTTTTGAAAATTGATGTTTAAAAGTAATGTAGAAACGAATTTTTAAAAGTATTGTAAAAAAGTGTAGATAAAAATTTAATTGTTTGAGACTACTGTTAAAAAATGAATTTGAAAATATAAAATCTATATTATATACATTATGTTATAAATAAAAATATAGCATTTAAATTATTTTACACTTATATTTGAATCATATCAATTTAAACTATAACAAAAATATTAAATACTTATAAATATATAATTATAATAAAAATATATTTTATATAACCCACTATTAATATTTTAATATATAAATTATAAATTATATTTATTTTTAAATAAATAAAATAAATTATTAAAAGTAATAAATTATATTTTGAAGGATGTTAATATTAATTTATTAAAATAAAATGTAAATATATAATTGAGTGAAACCCATTGATTAGTAAGGTAAAATTATAATTTAATTTCAAACACAAATTAAAAAATGAAAAGGCTAGAAATCATAGCTTTTAAAGGTCCGTTTAGCAATGATTTATAAAAGCATTTTTATCTTAAAAAAGAGTTTTGACCGCAAAATCAATGTCAAATGGGTAAAAGACTAAAAGAAATTATCGTGAAAATGATGGTTTCAAACCAACGGCAAAAGTTTTTATAGATTTTTCATTTTCAACTTTGCGTTTTGAAACAAATTATAATTTTACCCTTGCTGATGCATGGGTTCCACTCAATTATATATTTACATTTTATTTTTGTAATTTAACACTAATATCCTTAAAAATAATTTATTACTTTTAAAATTTTATTTTAATTATTTTGAAATTAAGAAAATTCATGATTTTTATATTAAAATATTAATAGTGAGTTATATAAAATATAATTTTATTATAATTATATTTTATATTTTTATTATAGTTTAAATTTATATGATATTAAAGTTGGTATAAAACCCTTTGTGCTAAGGTTTTTCCTCTGCTTGTTAGTAGTTCTTTCTCTGCCGTCGGGATTAGTTTTCTGGATTTGGCTCAGTTCTCTAGCTTTGCTAGTTTTGATTAGGTGTTTATTTTTTCTTTTTTCAGGGCCCCTTATGAGTGATATTTAGCGTGTCATGGAGAACCTTAATTTAGGAAAGGGGAGAAAGATGTTTTTAATTTCCCAACCCCAAATAGGTCTTCTCAAATCTCATTTGACTTCTGTTTGGTGGGGCATTTTTAACAGTATGAGCAATTAATTTTCAAGCGATGCGAGTTACTCTGGAAAATGTATGGCACCTGATTGGAGGCATCTCTATCATTGATATTAAGGGAGGATCGCTATATGTTTCGGCTTTATCATGAGGTTGACGTTGACATGATTGAATCGGAAGCTCCTTGGTACTTTAATTCGTACCTACAAATTTTGTATCATCTAAAACCAGGTGAAGATCCTTGATTGGTGGTACTGGATGTTGTGGATTATTGGGTCCTTATTAATGATCTGCCTATTGTCTATATTTCAGAGCATGTTGTGCAACAATTCAACAATTTTATTGGAAGCTTAATTGAGTATGATATTACTGTCTCGATGGGATATTCGGGTTGGCATTGACACTAGGAAGCCGCTGAAGAGGAAAAATGAAATTAGCCTTGTCGAATAGTATGTTTACTTATGCCACTTTCCAATATGAAAAATTGAAATTTATTGTTTTTTGTGTGGTAAATTGGGACGTGGTGAGAAATTTTGCCCAATTCTTATACTCCGAGACGAAGGTCACCTGGTTCCTCAATGGAATGTGTCGCTGAAAGCTCCTCCGCCGAGACGGGGCAATCTAGCGAGTTGATGGTTGGGTGAGGATTGCATGGAAGACGTCCCTTCACAAATTTTGAAGGGTGTGGCTATTGACCTGAATAATGGTAAGAAGGAGGTAGTAGATCAGACAAAAGTGTGGGTTGAACGTACTTTTAAACAGATGGGAGGAAGTATAGCACAAGTTGACGAATCTGATATTATTATGACTTCGGTAGAGGAAACAAATCATTTGCATAAAAAGGACAATGTGAAGCGATAACAGAATATTCCAGCAGCTCCAAAGGTGCAAGTTGAGAATGTGTCAAGAAATATTGAGATATTGGCAAGCCTGTGTCCGCAGGCTAGCTGGATGCAATGAAACTCCTAAGTTGGAACGCTTGGGGATTGGGGATGCCGCAGACTATTCATCGTCTCCGAAATTTGTTGAGAGACGTAAATCCTTATGTAGTTTCCTTTATGAAGATGAAACTACATAATTCGCAAATGGAGAAGGTTCGTAAGTCTTGGGGGGGTTTTGAATGGTATTGAGGTAGAGCACCTAGGGACTCGGGGTTTTAGTTTGGACTGGAAAAGAGGTATTGATGTTGTTCTGAGATCTGCATTTCTTTCTCCCATTGACGTAGTGATTTCGGATGCTGAAGATGGTAAATGATGGAGATGTACAAGTTTCTATGATGCTCCAAAATAAGGTCATTGCCGTGAGTCGGGGGATCTCCTGCGACGTTTAAGTGATGGAATTGATCTTTTGTGACTTATGTGATTTCAATAAAATCATGTTTTCGTTGGAGAAACAAGGGGGTTCGGTGCGTAGTGAAAGACAAATGAGTGATTTCTATATAGTAATTGAGAAATGTGAATTGGTTGACATTGGCTTTACGGGGTCCTAGTTTACTTGGGAGAGACGTCGACGTGAGGAAACTAATATTAGGGAGCGACTTGATAGGGGTCTCACAAATAATGCCTGGATGTAGTCGTTTTCCAATTATTCTCTTCATCACATGCTTCATAGCGTTTCTGACCATTGCCCTTTATTGCTCAATATGAGGGCTATGGACTTGCAACAACGAAGATGACACTTCAAGTTTGAGGCATCGTGGTTATTGGAAGATTCCTAGAAGGGAAAGGTTATTTGGTTGTGGTCGGAAGCGCTTGGTCTGGTCCCTGATAAGTTAAACCATGTCTGTCGTGGTTTGGATGCATGGTTTAAAAATACTTGTCGAATGAACCGATTAACTACAGATGATCTGAGAAAGCATTTAGCCGATTTAATGGAGCTTGCCTCATCAGATGAAACTCTAGGTGAAATTGTGGATGTCAAGTTTCGTCTAAATTTGAAAGTGGATAAAAAGGAGTTGTATTGGGAACAAAGGGGGAGGGCTAATTGCTTGAAAAATGGTGATAATAATACAATTTATTTACATAGGTTCTCTTCGAATAGAAAACAAAGAAATAAAATTGATTGTCTTGAGGATGATAATGGAGACCGTGTTGATAGTGAGTTGGGAATACGATCGCTCGCAAATGAGTATTTTCAGCTTTTATTTATGTCAAACTTTTCTATTATGGATCATACGGTTTTGGATGGTTTAACACTATGTGTTACTGGCAGTATGAATGCCTCTTTGCTTAAGGAGTTTTTTTACGAGGTTACAAACGATGTTAAATCAATGTTCCTGTTAAAAGCCTTGGGAGAGGATGATCTTGGAGCGTTATTTTACCAACATTTTTTGCATGTGATAAAACTGGAGATTTCCGGGTTCTGCATTAGGATTTTGAGTGGACATTTTGATATGAAGACAATAAACCAGACGTATATAGTGCTTATTCTGAAAGTTGAAGACCCAAAGAGGCTAAGCCAATTTAGACCCATCAATCTATGCAATGTTTTGTTAAAGATAATCTCTTGATGTTTGCATTGATGAAGCCCAAAGCGCCTTTGTACCGGGCCATTTAATAAATGATAACATCCTTATAACTTATGAAGCGATGCATAGTTTCTTGGAGATGCGAGATGGACGTAAAGATTATTTTACTTTGAAACTCGATATGAGCAAAGCTTATGATCAAGTGGAGTGGCATTTTATTTGGCCTGTCATGGAAAAGATGAGGTTCGCTTAGGAGTGGATTGACCACATTAAGAACTGTGTTTCAACAGTATCTTATTCAATTGTTCTCAATGGGGTTACAGGTGAACAATTTTCTCCAAAAAAGGGGCTTAGACAAGGTGACCCACTAAGTCCGTATCTTTTTTTCATTTGAACTGAGGGTCTTTATGTGCTTTTATGGCAAGCCCTTTTTTCGAGGGACCTCAAGGGAGTTGAGATTAATAGAGCATCGTCTTTTTATTTCTCACCTCCTCTTTGCGGACGACAACCTCATCTTTGGGGAAGCAAATGCTCAAGTAGCACTCCAGATTAAGGAAATTCTTTGAGTTTGTAGTGATAGCTTGGGTTAAGCCATTAATTTGGATAAGTCGAGGATTTATTTTCAGTTTAAATATGCTAGATGCAAATAGAAGCGATGTGCGTCAAATTCTAGAGGTATCAAACGAAAAAAATCCTGAGAAATACCTTGGTCTTCCTTCAATAGTTGAAAGAAATAAGAAGGGGGCTTTTGTACATTTGTTTGATAATTTTCGAAGCCATATAAGGAATTGGTCCGTGAAGGCTTTTTCTCAAGGAGGTAAGGAGGTCTTTATCAAGTTCGTGCTCCAAGCTATTCCTTTATTCTCTATGAACTACTTGCTTCTCCCTTAGACCCTTTGTTTGGAATTAAAAAGTATAATGGCCAACTTCTTTTGCCAAAAGTTAGAGAACAAAAGGGGAATTCACTGGTGTTCTTGGAATGCCCTTTGGCAGTCAAAAGAAAATTGTGGTTTGGGTTTCGATATCTAGCAAAGTTTAACATCGCTTTGTTGGCAAAATATGGTTGGTGGCTTCTTATTTATCCTACTTCGTTTTTCGATCGTCTTTACCGTGCAAAGTATTATCCGACGGGGGACTTCTTGAGTTCTAGCGTTGGAGCTGCCTCGTCCACATTTGACGTAGTATTTGGTGTGCTAAGGGTCTTCTTTTGAAAGGGATGAGGTGGAAGGTTGGGATGGGCACCTCCATCTCAATCTAGAATGATTTAGCGTAACCGGTAAATCCTCCAAAATTGGTTGCTTCGGCTAGGAATGAAATTGACACCAATTCGAGAGCTTAGAACCTTGATATGGTTGCTGATATGTTCAATGCTGAGGATGTAGATTTGATTGCTAGAATTCCACTTTCTCAGTTTCCCCAAGAAGATTGTCGGGTTTGGGGAGGTGAGAAATCGGGACTGTACACCGTTCGTACTGGATATCATTTGTTATTGGATGGGGTTGTAGTCTCACAACAAGATAAAGTCGTTTTTAGCAAAATTTAGGCTTGCTCGTGTCAATGAAAAATAAAGATTCATGTTTAGAAATCCGCGTGTAATTACATCCCGTCTAAGCGTAATTTATTTAACAAACGTATCATGCACCCAATGTGCTCAAATAGTGATGATGTAGTGGAGTCAGGCAGCCATATTGCTCGTGATTGTGCTTGTAACCCCCACAGACCGATAAGGGTAACTAGATCCGATCTGGGGTGTCACATTTGGCCACCGGAGCGACCCACTGTAAAAATAGCGGAAAATTTAAAACTTTTTAAATTATATGTAAACTAATAAAATCAGTTGTCACTATTTAAAAATAAAACAGATTTCCAGACTCGTATATAAATCAAAATACAATTACATGCCCCTAATCACATGTACCATACTCTGCAACAACGCCGAAAAAACTCCCTTACTGAAGTCGATAGATGCACTGGTACAATTCTTTTAACCTGAAAAGGTGAGTAATAGAGTGAGCTTCGAAAAGCTCAGTAATACAGAACTACCAGATAATGCTGAAGAACGTGCAGATACATATAAACATACATATCATTATTATTTCCGAACATTTATAGATTTTTATGATGAGCAAAGATTCTACTGATATTTTAGATAGTAACGGACAATGAACTTTCAGTTCAAACAAGTATTTCGGATGACTGAGTTCAGGAGATCAGAATAGGTTACTAGTGTGTTCCCAAAAACCATGTAACTTTTCAGATCTTTTTAAAACATATATATATATATATACCCCCATCCCAACACATCATAATATGTAGGTTCCCCAGAACCATACACCCAACCCAACACATCATATAAGGCCCTGAGCACAAAGCCGAGGAACCTGCGAAATTTCTTCCTTCAACAATACCCCCAATTAAAACATTTTCCGTCCGTAAACGGATATATCAAAAATCAAAACATAAATCAGGTCAAGTATCATATCAGAAATCAGGTCAAGTAACAGATCAGAATCCAAGTCAAGTATCAGATCAGAATCCATGTCAGATATCAGATCAGAATCCATGTCAAGTATCAGATCAGAATTCAAATCGAAAATTAGATAAAATATTCATGTGAGTAGGGAACACGCCAGAGTTTACAGGTATTATTTAGAGGTACTGTATCAGGCAGAGAAACACAGTTCTTCAGTATGTCGATAGAATGTTGGAATTTAGAATCACTATTGGAAGAGTTCATTAACTGACAGAATCATCAGTTATTCAGAATGTGAATTATCAGGATATTATCTTATTCAGATAGTTTTCAGAAGCTGTACGTAATCAGAAGGGTATTCAGAATCCTATACATCCATGTCAATTGATCGAATAATCGAACAACTTGAGAACAAAGATTCAGAACCTTAACAATCTATGTCGACTAGTCAATTCATTTTCCTTCTAAGGTATTTACTCTTTAATACCACAAATTCTTGTCCGTAGACCATTTTCGGAATCATCGCTGAATAAATCTTCCAATGTCTTTATTTCATTTCCACGTTTCCACAATATCATGGAATGCTGACGTACTTGATTAATTTGTTCATAACCCATTGTAATTGTAAACTACATAAACTCATCAGAGTTTCCAGACTTATCCAAATCACTTATTTAAATCCTCAGTCATTGAGGTTACCTAGTTCATTTAGCAGTCATGTCCATTCCAGTTACTTCAGGATTTTCCAGAGTAATTCAAACGTTCCTGAATTTCAGATACATGTTTTACTTCCATTCCATTCAATTTTGGTCTTCGTGGTTGATTTGTCGAACAAACGTCCAATTCTTAGTACTGAATACGATCTAGAGCTGAGCTGAATACTTCCAAAATTTATCATCGAGCCAAACTTGAGAAGACGAATACATGTTCCAGTAATATCTATGCCATTCAGGTATTGACATAGCTTTAGGGTTGATCTACTCACTTAAACTATTTCCCATTACCTTTAAAGGTAGTCCAATACCTATGGTTACTTGGATTCCTTAATTAATCCCAAGACATTTACTTAATATAGGCCATAAGGGTATTTTGGTAATTTTGGTATTCATTTTTATTCCATTTATTTCAGAGCTCGAAGATATCTAATCATTCTTGAGCTTGGTGGTATTCTTGGGTCATTTCCATTACAGGGGTATTTTGGTCATTTTACAGATCTACGGTATTTCAATCTTTTCCTGCCATCCGGTCTTATTATTTAATTCAATCTTATCATTTACTTTAGTCCTTTCGAACAATTCTGACAGCAGAATACCCCCGATAAATTATTCTTCAAGTATTTACTCATTATTCGAATATTTACGGGTCAAGTGTCTTCTCAGATTTTACAAACGGAATATCACGAATTTTCCTGCACTAAGTCAGGATCTTAACAATTAAATCCGTACTTAATCGAGTTAAGTACGAATCCCCTGAGTATTTTCTCATTCAGAGTCAACTCAGATTATTCTACCTCTTAAGGGCATTTCCATAATTTCTTAACCATATAATTTCGATATTAGCTCTTAACGAAAATAATATAATTTAGAGATCCAATGATTAATTGCTTTCTTGAATACTCTCTGATCTTGAAACGGTTCTCTTAACAAACTTCTAGTATCATTCACAAACTCTCATAGGATTAAAACCGATTATCCATAATTTCCAAATAAAACTAACATTTCTTATGCACATCAATATTTTTATCAGATCAATATGTCTGTAAAATCCTTTTATCTAACTTCCATATTCAAATCTTGTCTTTTTATAACATAAGGGTATTTTCATAATTTTACCCTACCGGAGTATTCTCATAATTTCTCATCCAAGTACCTTTAACATTTAACCATTGATGAAATAAATTATAAGTTGCAAATACAGGGCTGATTTCTTTATCACTAATCACAAATTTGTAATTTAATCTAACAATTCCTCAATCTCTTATATTAGTCATTCGATCCGTAATCAGTTACAGAATTTCTACCACATCATATCGAGTGTATAAATTATTCAACTCCACGAAAGTGACCAATATTATCTTGTTCATGCATTTATCAATATAAACATGTTCCATAAAGCATAAAGAGGTAGTAAAGTATTATCTCGATTTCCGTGCAATACTGATCAACCATAAATAATTACATTCGAACGCCTTTGATCTTCAATTCAACTTCCAATAATTCCTCAGATACATATCAACATAAATTATATCAGAAACGGAGCTTAATTGCGATAAACGGATAGAATCGGGTGATAAATCAGTGAGTGACAACTTACTGGGTTCGAATTTGGCAAAACAGACTTCGAATTCGGATTCAGGACGTCGAAAGTATAAAATATGACTTTTCGGAAATTTGGAATTTTAGGTCAAAATCAAAGTCAACGGGTTTGACCGGCAATTTCGAGGCCTTCGGGTTCGAATTTTGAAAAACAAATTGCGGAATTGGATTTGGAACGTCGAAAAATGTCAGGATAGATATACTCGGTCAAAGTCAAAGGTCGTTTAATGCCCGGTCAAAGCCAGTCAAAGTTTTGGTCAACAGTGGTCAACGCCGGTCAACGGTCAACGGGTCGGGTCGGGTCGTGACCGGTCAAACTGGTCAAATGGGTTACAAAACTGGTCATTTTTCTTTCCCCACGCACAGTGGCGATGCGTGAACAATGCTAAATTCCCGGAAAAATTTCTAAAAATTATTTTGAGCGATTTCGAGATACTTACAAAGTTCGGTTCAAATTTTTGAACGGCGGAGAGCTCGATTTCAACGAATCGAAAACTTTGACCGCTTCACCTCCACACGCGCCGCCGCCGCCGTAGAAAAGGGAGGACACCGGTGGACTCGGAATGGCACAAGGAACACGATGGTGCGGGAGGTGTCGTAAACGGATGACCCGATCGTCGTGAATCGATGAAAAACCAACTAAAATTGAGTTATTACCGACGATACTTCCGACTGAAATTAACGATGAACGACGACGATTCACGATGAAAGGTTTGAGGGGCTTTGTTCCTCGGTTGACAACGAACACGATGATAGTTTCGGCTCGTCAATCGGAGGTCGGACGGCGAGTAGATCGGAGTTCAAAGAGAGGTTGATGAAGAGGAAAATCTGGAAAAATTTCTCCAGAAAACATACGGGAGAGATTTATAATTCTATCTAAAATAAAAATGGGTAAATCATAGGTTTAGCCACTAAAATTTATTACACTTCTTAAAGCGGTTTGCAAACTTTAAAATTTTACAATTTAACCCACTATTTCTTTCAAAATACCAAATTAAATCCACCACTTTATAATTTCTTTATTTTTAACCCCCTAAATTGGGGTGTTACAGTACTCTTGCCTCGTTAGTGTGGGTTTGTTTAAATTATAATTGGCCTCCTAATATTGTTAATGTTTCTCTGATAGAATGGTTAGAGTGGTTATTTTAATTTTATCCCATTATTAAACATGCTGAGATTGTGACTTTTATTTGGGCATTTTGGTGTGTAAGAAATAGACATTACTAAGGGGTTGTTTTTGAAGGCGGAAGACATTGTGGCTCTGGTTCAATCTCAATGCTCAGATTTCTCCTCGGCCAACTCGAGACTTCGGGGTCCATCTCGACCTGTCCAGTCTCGTTGGAAACCCCTCATTGCTCCGGCGGTAAAAGTAAACTATGATGCACGATTCTCTCAATCACAAAAACATTCTGGTCAGGTATTG